ATTCTCCTTCTATCTTAATGTACTTTGACATGAACAGAACTACAACCCAGCAATGATTCATGGAACAGTGCCAAGCAACTGATGTATTTATTATTATAATATATAAAAAAGAGCTTATATGCATGCAATAGCCCTACCTTTACAATAGTCGTAAAACTGTTCAATTAACTTGAAAATATCCTCAGAATCAGTCACGGTAAAATTCTTTCCGGTTAATTTAGATAACTGAGTTAAGATATTAGGGTCATCCAGAGGTTTTACTTTTTCCTTGTCCTATAAAATAAATTTCAAAATGTTTCCAATATATAAATATATATCATATATACAAAAGTGGTCAATAACTAAACGTGTGTGTGCACGCGTGTGCACTGCTGATACTGTGACTTCATACTCTCATTCAGCTTGATGGATCATAGCTAGTGTTCTACCACTTGAGCCACTTTTCCAGTCTGGCGTTTTGCTGGGTAATTGGAGATGGAGTCTCACAGACTTTTCAGCTGGCTTCTAACCATGATCCTTTAGGTCTCAGCCTCCTGAATAACTAGCATTACAGGCAATTGCCACCAGCACCTGGCTGCCCAGTTTGTTGTTTTTTTTTAATGTAAGCACAACTTCTGAAAAGAATTGATTTCTTTTCAAAAGAATACCTTTATTAATAGCTATTCTTCCTTAATCATTTTCAAATTAAATATCCTTATATAATGAAATATTATACTTTCAATTTATATTTGACTGTATTTTTTTTTTTTTGTTGTTGGTCATGGGGCTTGAACTCTGGGCCTGGGCGCTGTCCCTCAGCTCTTCAGCTCAAGGCGAGCGCTCTACCACTTGAGCTACAGCGCCACTTCCGGTTTTCTGGTGGTTTATTGGAGATAGGAGTCTCACAGTCTTTCCTGCCCGGGCTGGCTTTGAACTGCGATCCTCAGATCTCAGCCTCCTGAGTAGCTAGGATTACAGGCGTGAGCCACCAGCGCCCGGCTTTGACAATGTATTTTAAGTCATATTTTATATCGCTGCCCTTCATATTGTATTTGTGACAAAACATTATTTTACAGTACCTTATTCTCTTTAACAAGTATTTCCTTTTTGAGCCTACAAAAATAAAACCACACATTTTGAAGCCAATATTCAAATATACAAAACACAAAGACTATCTAAAACATCTATAATTTGTAAAAGAAAAGCCTCAAAATTTATTTCTATTTATGATGTTCACACACAATTAATTAACTTTTGTGCCAGTCCTGGAGCTTGAACTCAGGACCCAGGTACTGTCTTGAGTGTTGGCTCCAGGATAACACTCTACCACTTGAGCCATAGCTCCACTCCCAGCTTTTTGGTTGTTAATTGGAAATAAAAGTCTCATGGAACTTTCTGTCCATACTGGCTTTGAACCATAATCCTCAGATCCCCGCCTTCCTAGTAACTTTGATTACAGGTGTGAGCCACTGGCATACCACTGTTTTATTTTTTGTTTTTGTTTTCGCTTTTGTTATCGTGGGACCTGAACTCTGGGCCTGGGCTCTGTCCCTCAGCTCTTCAGCTGTAGACTAGCGCTCTACCACTTGAGCCACAGCACCACTTCTGGCTTTTTCTGCTTATATGGTGCTGAGGAATCGAACCCAGGGCTTCATGCATGCAAGGCAAGCACTCTACCACTGAGCCACCTTCCCATACCACTGTTTTGTAGGGGGAAAAAAATACCAGGCTGTTGTTATTGCTATTTTCAACAAAGTTTCACAGTCACAGATTCATATATTTGAATGTATTAAGTCCACATATGAATGAAACTTTTAAAGCAATGGTAGGAGTTAGCTTTCTTAGGATCTGTGACACATGGCTAAGCACTGTACACAGATTACCTTATGCTCATTTTCATCCACTGAATTGGATAACTTTTTTTGTTGTTGTTGGTCATGGGGCTTGAACTCAGGGACTGGGCGCTGTCCCTCAGCTCTTCAGCTCAAGGCTAGTGCTCTATCACTTTGAGCCACAATGCCACTTCGAGTTCTTGAGTGGTTAATTGGAGATAAGAGTCTCAAGGACTTTCCAGCCCTGGCAGACTTTGAACTTTGGGTCTCAGGCCTCAGCCTCTTGAGTAGCTAGGATTACAGGTTTGAGCCACTGGGGGGCCTGGCTTAGATAAGTTTTTTGACTTTTGTTAAAGGAAAGGAACTAGACAGAAAATGTCCAGACAAGTTGCCCAAGTGAGTAGGGCTAATCAGTAGCTGACCTAGAATTCAAAGCCAGGGATTCTGGCTGCACAACCTGTGTTCCACAAAACTGTGAAAGTTATGCTTAGGTTCAAGTGTTTTAAGTGACACAATAGCAGAAGGGCACATACTATGACTTCAATTCTGTTAATTTTAAGTAATAATTTCCAGATATTATAAATGTTCTTACAAAATTATATGATGTAGATAGGTTTAGAGTTATAATTCCAACAAATGGAGACTGTTATTTTTCTAGAAAAATTTCTCAATAACTATCAGTCATCCAGGTAACTAGTTATTCCATGTGCTCAAAAAATAGTTATTGAGCACTCATATAAATTAACAACACTGTGACATTGTGACAGAATTTCATAATCTTAGAATAAGATTATGAATCTTAGAATATGATTATGAAACTTAGAATACCTTAGAATTTCATAATCCAAAAGTAATAATCCTTTTTATTTTTCTCATTGGAAACCAGGACTCAAACTCACTATCTGACACTTTACGAACGAACATTGGCAGCTACTCTACTATGAACCATGCCTCCAACCCCCCCTCCAAATAATAATTTGTATCAGATATTTTACTTTTTCTTCTTTTTTGGCAGTGCTGAGATACTTTTCTACTGTATATGAACAAAATCCTCCCCCTTCCCCAAGAAGCTAGACGATATTCTTACAACACTCTATAAAATGGTAGTTAACTTATGAACCGGTCAAAGATACAAGGAGTGATTTCATTCTATTTAGTATGTTCCATGTATTTATATTTTTCATATAACTTAAAAAATGTATGCTGCTGGGTGCTGGTTACTCATGCATGCAGTCCCAGCTACTCAGGAGGCCGAGATCTGAGGATAGTAATTCAAAGCCAGCCCAGGGTAGGAAAGTCCATGACATTCTTATCCCCAGTTAACCATCAAAAATCTGGAAGTGGAGCTGTGGCTCAAGTGGAAGAGTGCTAGCCTTGAGCAAAAAAGCTAATGGACAATGTCTAGGTCCTAAATTCAATCCTTAATACCAACACCAAAAAGAAAAAAATGAAAAAAGCCTTTAGTTTTGATGGCACTTTCTAAGCATACTTTGTTCTAATACTTGTAACATCTGATGGGGTGCAAAACCAATCTGCCTGCTACACTCACTCTATGAATAGCCTACAAAATCACTAGCGGGGATTTTAGTACCTGGCAAATGTAAAGTTCTACACAAATGTAAAGTTCTATACAAAAGATGAATTCTCTTTTAACAACATTATTGTGGGAGGCGTGAACTCAGAGCCTCCTATTCATTTGGCTTGCTTGGTTAGCTGGCACTACTACTTGAGCCATACTTGCAGCCTTTCAAAATTTCACATTTAATTTTTTTCAGACTGTATTATTTGATGTGTATGAAGAAAACTTATCTATTTCCCTATTAGTGACTATTTACATGATCTCCAACTTCATCATGACAGTGCCATATTAAATATCCTTAACATACACACATACATAGATAAGTTATTTATGTAAATGTCTCAGATATATTACATATCATTTATATTCATGCTACATACATGAATTAAACATTTAACATGATATACATTAAATATACTTAATTACTGTATGCCATATATAATAGTATATCTTTTTGTTGTTGGTGGTGGTGGTTGTGAGGCTTGAACTCTGGGCCTGGGCACTGTCCCTGCGCTCTTTAGCTCAAGGGAGTGCTCTACTGCTTGAGCCACAGCACCACTTCCAGTTTTCTAGTGGTTTATTGGAGATAAGAGTCTCACAGACTTTCCTGCCCGCGCTGGCTTTGAACTGCAATCCTCAGATCTCAGCTTCCTGAGTAGCTAGGATTACAGGTGTGAGCCACCAGCGCCCGGCTTTATTATAACGTATCTTCTAAAATATATACATGTTATTTAATAAATTTATTGAACTTATATATGTGTTTATAAGTCATGTTTTCCTGTCTCACAAGCAAAGCTATTAAAGAAATATATCTGGTGCCGGGAGCTGCTGGCTCAGGCCTGTAATCTTAACTACTCAAGAGGCTGAGATCTGAGGATCAAGGTTCAAAGCCAGCCCGTGCAAGAATCTCCATGAGACTCTTGTCTGAAAATTATAAGTTATCCTCTAAAAAATACTTACCAATTTCACTTACCAACAATATATGAGAATGATATTTCCTCAAATTTACCAACCCTTACCATCTGGGAATAAAATATTTATCCACAGAATTAGAAACAATTAAGTATCATTATTTATATTTTCTGACATTGTTGCAAGACTAAATATCTCTGGTAAAAGCATGTAAATTGCCAGACACCAGTGGCTCATGCCTGAATTCCTAGCTACTTAGAGGCTGAGACCTGAGGACCACAGTTCAAAGCCAGCTGGGGCAAGAATGTCCTTGAGACTCTTATCTCCAGAAGCAAAGAAAAAGAGTTTTCCTGAAGCCAGGCACTGGTGGCTCACACCTATAATCCTAGCTACTATAATCCTAGCTACTCAGGAGGCTGAAATCTGAGGATCAAGGTTCAAAGCCAGCCTGGACAGGAAAGTCTGTGAGACTCTTATCTCCAATAAACCACTTAGAAAACTGGGAGTGGTGCTGTGGCTCAAGTAGTAGATTGCTAGCCTTGAGCTAAAGAGCTGAGGGACAGTGCCCAGGTCCAGAGTTCAAGCCCCCTTGACAAAAAAAAAAAGCATGAAAATTATTGATCATGAATATTAGAGCAAATTAAAATGTTTTATAGAACTATAGAATTATGTTCTGTTAAAGATAGCCACAGTCTTACCCATCATGCTCTTCAATCTCCTGATCAGGAAATTGCTGACAATGAGCCTTCTCACTCTTTCTATGTAAAATTCCAGTTTCAGTAGCAACAGCACCATCACCACATGGATTTTCTGCTACTTCCATTTCATTACTTTTGTGGATCTTCATTTTTTCTTTAATCTTTAATAAAAATTTGATACTAAGGATAGTAAAGATACTGAAGATTTAGTATGATGCTTTTTCAATGAAAGAAATGTTTTATTTTGACTTTAATCAGTTTCATTTTCATGATTTTAGTTCACGAAAAAGGCTTTTGCTTTGTTTAATTTTATTGCTATAGGTCACTAAAATTTTTAAAAATCTGCCAAATTTGAGTGAAAAAATAAGTTTTTTAAAACTTCAAGAAGGGCCATTCTTTCCATTGTGTCTTTTTTTGCATTAATTATTTGCTATCTATCTAGAAATAAAATGACACAAGAAAATTTTGTCAGAATCCACTCAGGATATTGAGATACAGAGGGTTGTGATTTGAGGCCAGCTTGGGCAGAAAAGTCAGAGGCCCTACGTTCAGACCTAGGCACCAGCAAACAAATAAAAAAAATAGAAAAAATATCCTCTTTTGTCTTTACTCCCTGGATTTTAAACTAAACAGCCAGATTTAGAGAATGTGATTGTGAGGCTCTAGTAACGAAAAGCAAGAATTCCTATTTCTGCACTAAACTATTCCCCAATTGCCTTTTACAATTTTTTTCATTTGGGTGTTGAGATAATAGAAGGAGGAGGAGGCAGGAGGAGGAGAAAAAGAAGAAGAGGAGGAGGAAGAAGAGGAGGAAGAGGAGAAGGAAGAAGAATAAGAGGAAGAAGAGGAGGAGGAAAAGAGGAAGAAGAGGAGGAGGAAAAGAGGAAGAAGAGAAGGAGGAAAAGAGGAAGAAGAGGAGGAGGAAGAAGATGAGGAAGAAGAGGAGAAAGAAAAAGAGGAAGAAGAAGAGGAAGAGGAGGAAGAAGATGAAGAAGAAGAGGAGGAAGAAACGTGCTCACTGAAATGCATGAACCAAATTTGCCACAAGAGGAAGAGCAGAATGAAACTGCTGAGGTCTTTCTTTTCTGGAAAATGAGATCGTGTCCAACATTTGATTTAAACAAACAAACACAAAAACCCTTTACAAACTGAACCTGGGACACTGGTGGCTCATGACTGTAATCTTCACTACTTAAGAGGCTAAGATCTGAGAATCAAGGTTCAAAGTCAGCCTGAGCAGGGAAGTACATGAAACATTTTTGTTGTTGTTGCTTGTGGAGCTTGAACTCCAAGCCTAGGCATTGTCCCTGAGCCTAGACATTGTCCCTGAGCTCTTTTGCTCAAGGCTGGTGGTCTACTACTTTGAGCCAAGCACTACTTCTAGGTTTCTGGTGGTTAATTGGAGATAAAAGTCTCACAGACTTTCCTCCTCTGGTGGCTTTGTACCATGATCCTCAGATCTCAGTTTCCAGAGTAGTCAGGATTACAGGCATGAGCCACCAGCACGTGGCTTCCATAAAACTCTTTTTTTTTTCTTTTGGTTGGCCATAGGGCTTGAACTTGGGGCTTGGGCACTTCCCAAGGCTGTGCTCTATCACCTTGAGCCACAATGCCACTTCCAGTTCTTGAGTGGTTAATTGGAGATAAGAGTCCCATGGGCTTTCCTGCCCAGACTGTCTTTGAACTATGATCCTCAGATCTCAGCCTCCTGAGTAGCTAAGATTACAGGCATGAGCCACTGGCACCCTGCCCATGAAACTCTTATATTATTGCATAAATAATATATAAGTAAATATATTACTACTTTTATATATGTATGTGTACATATCTATATCTGTCCGTCTGTCTGTTTATATTTTTGGTCCTGGGGCTTGAACTCAGGCCTAGGTGCTGTCCCTTAGCTTTCTTGCTCAAAGCTAGCTAGCACTCTACCACTTGAGCCACAATTAGAGATCATTTTTGGTGGTTAATTAGAGATAAAGAGTCTCATGGATTTACTGCTATAGCTGGCTTCAAGCTTTGATTCTCAGATTTCAGCCTTCTGAGTAGCTAGGATTTTGTAGGAATAAGCCACTGGCACCTGGCCTACATATATTTTTATATCTCTCCCCACTCATTGGTTCTTTTCCCTTAAATTTCCTTTGTCGGTTTCTAAATGAGGGCTTTACACTATGAAAAATGTTTAATAAGCTATAGGACTCTTTTTTCCTATAGTCTGTTGTATATTGTAAGCAACTTCCTTGGTTCACAAGTTCAGATGTATCATGGTAAATTAGTTTCCCAGTTTATAACAAAAAAGAATAATAGAAAGACAGAATGTTTCACATGATCCCTGCTCTAACATATTTCTGATGAGGTTTAGTTACTTTTCTGCTCTCCTGTCCCTTGTAATGCTAATCAGCACTTTCACATACTCTTCTACTTAAGGAAGTCCTGAATGTACAAATATCAAATAATTACAACTCTTATTAATTTCTGGTTCATGAAGCCTTTTTTGAGATAGGATAGTAAATTTTGTTAAGGATACATATCTGCAAAATCATTTCATCCTTCAAGAATCAGATTATAGGTGAAAAAATTTAGAAAATTACTCAAGTTTACTGTTAATGTTTCGCTTCTCTCAAATCACTAAATCATAAGTGAAACATGAAAAGTAATATACCTTATTCTAAAATGAAAGCATGATCTAGAAACTTCAATTTTCACTTTGTTTATACTGAACTTAATTCTTAATTCATTGTGCTAATTTTCCAAACAGTGAATTAAATGATTTTTAATTTTTTTTTTTTTTTTTGGTCAGTCCTGGGCGCTGTCCCTCAGCTCTTCAGCTCAAGGCTAGCAATCTACCAGTTGAGCCACAGCGTCACTTCTGGCTTTTTCTGCTTATGTGGTGCTGAGGGATAGAACCCAGGGCCCCATGAATGTAAGGCAAGCACTCTAACACTGAGCCACCTTCCCAGCCCCATGATTTTTAATATCTTTGCAAAGACTTCCTCATATAGAAAGATTTTTAGCTCATCCTATCTCAAATAGTGAGCATTTACAATGAATTTAAGTCATTTTTTCCTAAGACCCAGTAACTGGAGAGTAGATAAACTTTTATTTTTTGAGAGCCAAAATTAACTAGCACCAATTAGAAAGGAAAATAAATTCCTCTATTTTTATTCAACTTATATACTATGTTAATGTGCTTTACACCCTAACATTGGCAAAAGCAATGGTACAAGTGGTTTGATAATATTTACTAATTTCTGACTGCAAAATGAATGTTAGTTATTGTTTGTATTGTTCCCTTTCAGGAAGCCATCAATTTCTTTTTGGTGGGGGTGAATGGTTGTGGGCTTTAACTCAAGGCCTGGGTGCTGTCGTTGAGCTTCTTTTGGTTCAAGGCTAGCTTTCTACCACTTGACCCAAAGTTCTACTTTTGGCTTTGTAGGTAGTTTAATGGAGATAAGAATCTCATGGACTTTTCTGCCCAGGCTGGCTTTGAACCACAATCCTCAGATCTCAGCCTCCTGTAGCTAGAATTACAAGTGCGCCTGACTTCTCAATTTCTTAAAATGATAATGAAGTGTTAACTTTACAACACTAGTCTGTTCGTTAATGTAAACACTGAAGTCAATTAAAGACCACTATTTGAATTACAGTACAAAGCACTGACATTACCAAGTGTTAATATGAAACTCAAATTTTGAGGCATGAGCAATGATCATTCTTTATCATGACTACAACTTAGTGGCCATTACTGTTACAGTATTTGTAATTTAACCACTTAATCCTGAGTCATTTTGATTTTACCTTCTTTATCATTTAAGGTGATCATACAACATTCTGAAAATATTCAGGGAAAAAAACTTGTATCACAATTCCATGAGAAAAAAATAGCTGTTATTATAAGATATAGGAATACTTTAAGTCTTGTAACTATCTAAAATAGTTGTAAAATTAAACATTAAGTATGAAATGATGGTCTATTAATCCTAAAAGGCTAGTTGAAATTTCGCTTGGCCTATGTAAGTACTAAAACAAAGAAAATAAGATTAAACTAGAAATTGAAATGCAAGTTTTACATACCTGTGTGTGGTTATTTTCACTATCATCAAACCTTTTTCCACTTTTCTCTAATGTCACGCTTAATTCTAAGTCTGCTGACAAATCTATAAATTTAATTAAAATAAACCATGTGGAAAGTTTGATACAAGGTGAAACTTTATAAAAATATATTAACAGTAATAATTTATTTTTACTATCCAACTGGTAATTTAAATGCGGTTCCATCTTTAGCTGAATATATGCTTCTTTTCAAAGTACTTCTAAATCTCATGAAAAGACAGTATCACAAGGTTCAAGGCATATAAATATTACAAAGATTCATCCACAAATTCATCCATTCAACATATATGAAAAAAACATAAGAAATAAACATTTGAAACAGCACAGAAACCTAAGTCTACATGTTAAACAACTCTCTACAATAGTAACTTTGAACACCTCACCATATTGTTTAACATTTAAGAGGCCAATGTTTTGTCATTCACCTTTTTTTTTTTTTTTTTTGTCGGTCGTGGGGCTTGAACTCTGGGCCTGGGCGCTGTCCCTCAGCTCTTCAGCTCAAGGCGAGCGCTCTACCACTTGAGCTACAGCGCCACTTCCGGTTTTCTGGTGGTTTATTGGAGATAGGAGTCTCACGGTCTCTCCTGCCCGGGCTGGCTATGAACCGCGATCCTCAGATCTCAGCCTCCTGAGTAGCTAGGATTACAGGCGTGAGCCACCAGCGCCCGGCTTGTCATTCACCTTTATCTATGGACACTGTACTCTCTGTCTAACCTGTGCACTGTTGTGTTAAAGATCTTCTTTCTTTGAAGACTCAGTTTGTTCTGCGTAGCCTTCCTGGCTTATGGCATTTTTTTTTTTTTTTTGTTACTGTAAAGGTGATACACAGTTATATAAGTCAGGCAATGAGTACATTTCTTTTTTCTTTTTGCCAGTTGTGGGACTTGAACTCTGGGCCTGGGTGCTGTCCTTGAGTTCTTCAGCTTAAGGTGAGCCACAGAGCCACTTCTGGTTTTTAGTGGTTAATCGAAAGTCTTACCGACTTTCCTGCCCGGGCTGGCTTTGAACTGCGATCCTCAGATCTCAGCTTCCTGAGTAGCTACAATTACAGGCTGAGCCACTGGTGCCTGGCAGTACATTTCTTTTTGAACAGTGTCACCTCATCCCTTGCTCTCTCCGTTTATCCCTCCGGACACATCTCCCCCACAAGGTGTGTAGTTCATTTTCAACATAGTGTCTAGTGAGTATTACTGCTGCATTTTTTCACCCTTTGTCCCCTCCTCCACTGTTCTGTTTTTGAAAGGAATAGTAGTCTCTCTAATAGAAGAAAAGTTAATACTTTATCTTTTTTCTAACTGTAACTTTCATATTTGAACTCTGTATTACTTTCCCATTACTTTCCATGTGTCTAACTCTCAACTTTCTGGAGAAGACAATCTTTTAAAGATCATTGAAGAATCAGTCCTTACTTATTAAACTCAATCCTTATTTACTGATTTCCTGCTAACTTCTAGAAACTTGGGTGGGTTTTTGTTTGTTTGTTTGGTGCTTGTCCTAGGACTTGAATTCAGGGCCTGGTCTCTGTTCCTAAGTTTTTCTTTCCCTCAAGGATAGCACTCTGCCACTTGAGCCACAACTCCACTTCTGGCTTCCTGGTGGTTAATTGGAGATAAGAGTCTCACAGATTTTCTGTCTGGGCTGGCTTTGAACTGTGATGCTTTGATCTCAGCCTCCTGGGCAGCCACCAACACATAGCTGGCATTTGGGTTTTAAAAGTAAACGAAGCATGTCTGAGATGGCTTTTCTCAAGGTGGTACTTGAACTGATACTTAAATAGTAACATTAGACAAGTAAGGGGAAGAAAGGTTGCGAACTTTACAGGCAGTAAAGCAAGAGGTAAGAAGTGTTACATTGGATCCATATCAATCCATCAAACTAATAGAAATTGGTGAGAGGGGTATCATCATAATTCAGTAATGGCACAAAAATGGGCAGAGGAAAGGGTAAAGATGAGAGCTATAACTATAAAAGTCTTATGTAATTGCAAGATGCTTAGGTGTTTGGATGTTGATGTTTTAAAAATGAGTCACATTAACACTTGGAATGGAGATAGAACACTGTAAATGTGGTAAAGGAATGACTATGATAAAAATATGAATAAATGTAGAAAGATAATTTAGTAGACTGTAACAATGCAATACAAAGAGGATGGAAGTCTGAAATTAAGAATACTGAAAGACATATTTAAGACATAACAGTATCAGAGCTCTAATAAAAATAAATATTAGTTTATTAAATAATTGTACAAATCTGGATGACTGGAGAACTAGATTCTGCTCAATAATGGACGAAAGGGATAAAATAGGAAAGAGTAGTACCCCTGTCCTGTTTAAGTGCCCTGATTTTAAAATCTTTGTCAATTCTGCTTCTCATCTTCTAATCTTGACAAAAGAACTTGTGTGTTTTGTTTTAAATGTTTGGCTTCTCAGCTCTACCCATTCTGATTGTGGTTGTGGGTAGAACTGACCAGAAGAGCACAGAGCACGCAATTAGCAAAAGCAAGAACTTCCATATAATTCCCACAACAATATGAAAGGAGGAAGAGGAGAAAGAGGAGGAGGAAGAAAAGGAGGAGACAAAAGTAATGGTAGAGGAGGATGATAAAAGAAAATGACAGTAAAGAAGTCATACTTATGGGTAAATAGCACTGGATTTAATTTTGGAGTAATTATTCTGGAAGATAACATAATATTCTATTAAATAGAATTTCAATCTATAGGTATATGTACTTGGTTATGGCATATTATGTTAACCTAAGTGATGTTATATTTTATTACATTATATGTTATATCATCATTATACCATACTTAATATGGTATTTGTTGCCAGCAAATTCATCACATGAATACTAAAGGACACTGAATTAATTGGTACAAAAAATAAATATGCAAGTGGCGCTGTAGCTCAAGTGGTAGAGCGCTCGCCTTGAGTTGAAGAGCTGAGGGACAACGCCCAGGCCCAGAGTTCAAGCCCCACAACAAAAAAAAAAAAAAAAATGCTGCCAGGTGCCAGTGGCTCACACCTGTAATTCTAGCTACTCAAAGGCTGAGATCTAAGGATCAAGGTTCGAAGCCAGCTAAGGCACGAAAGTCCTTCAGATTCTTATCTCCAATTAACCACCAGAAAGCTGGACTTGGAGCTGTGGCTCAAGTGGTAGAGGGCTAACTTTGAGTTATAAAGCCCAGAGACAGGAAGTGGTGCTGTGGCTCAAGCGGTAGAGTGCTCGCCTTGAGCTGAAGAGCACAGGGACAGCGCCTAAGCAAAGAGTTCAAGCCCCACGACCGACAAAATAAATAAATAAAAATAAAAAGCTCAGAGACAGTGCACAGGCCCTGAATTGAAGCCCCAGGCTCAAAAAAAGCAAACAAACAAACATGTACTTTGTGCAGAAAATCAATAGACTTGGTATGTGAATGGAATATAATTTGATTTTCTGACTTTTTTTTTAAGATGTAGAAACTTGCTCAACATGACACCAGAATGTTAGTCTTCTGGGATCCGCTTTCCAAAACATTCTGGTTCATGTATGCCACTATGCCCAGCTCTGTAATAATTATGATTAAACACTGCAAATACTTAGGATTTTCACAGGTCATCTCTGGGAATCTCTAACGTGTGTAGATATGCAAATTGGAATTACCATTGTTTATGCAAATCAAATTTTGGCTATACAAGGGAATTGGAATGAGAAGCTGATGATCATTTCAAATATTTTTAAGTAATTCTGAAGTAATCTACTGCAAAATTTACCTGATTTGAATAATTCTTTATCCTGCTTTGCATTGGCCTTGGTTGTAGTAGAACCTTTCTTTTCGATGATTGGCTGTGTGGATTTTGAAACAAGGTATTCAATATTTATTGTCTATTTCATAAAACATGAAGTTACTAATAAAGGTTAAAAATCTTCCAGGTATTACCTGTACATGATGGTATTTATTAGCTGATTCTAAAAAAAAAAACCAGAGACATGCAATCAATTATATGTAAGTATGACAAATTCAGCCATATATTCATATACAGTGTATATGGTTAGTTTGGGAAATGATTAGTTTTTATTTTTGGTTGGAGAATTTGTAGTTTGCTTGGCTGTTCCCCCTTAAGGTTGGCATGCTACCACTTGAACCACACCTATTTCCAGATTTTTTTTTGTTTTTCGGTCTGGTCGTGGGGCCTGAACCTCTGGGCCTGGGCACTGTCCCTCAGCTTTTCAGCTCAAGGCTAGCACTCTACCACTTGTGCCACAGCACCACTTCCAGCTTTTTTCTTTTTGCTTATGTGGTGCTGAGGAATCGAACCCAGGGCCTCATGCATGCAAGGTAAGTGCTCTACCACTGAGCCACCTTCCCAGCCTTTATTTCCAGATTTTTGCTGGTTAATTTGAGATAAGATTATCACTGACTTCCCCACCTAGGCTGGCTTCTAACTGCAATCCTCAAATCTCCTGAGTAGCTAGGATTAGAGGCATGAGCCACTAGTACCTAGTTGAAACTCTTTTTTTATAAAAGCTTCTTTACTAACATTTTCAGTGGACCCTTGGCTATGATCACCCAACTGATAAAAATTTCACTTCTGTTTCTTTACTATGCATAATATAAGTAATTTCCACAGCATAGTTGACACATCAGTCCTTTCTTATAAAATCATTTTGTAGAGGGAAGATTAGTCCATGATGTTATGCAACTACTGAACTGACTGAATATCTTGCAGGAAACACAATGAAGTATGCTATGTTGCCCAAGGCAGCCATTAAGTCTTGAGGGCAAGAAAACCTCTTGTACATACTTCCTGAGTAGCTGATCTTTGAAATAAGAACGTTTTCATAATGAACCCTCAGGACTTCCAAATATAGTAGCACCTCCAAAATGAGAAATGCAGGTGACAAGATATAAGAGTAAAAATAACGTTCAGCTCACACATTATAAAGTTGGATTTTGCCTGTACATATCTTTCCTTTGAACATCTAGGATGGTACATACATTAGTTATGTTAAGCCCTTTACACAATTAGAGATTAAAATAGAGAAATGAAGAAATTGGAAAGCAAATATTTTTAGGCCCTTCTTTTAAAAAGTAATACGTAACATTTACCTGATTGGAGCATTTGTACATCCTTCTTTGCTAATGCTTTAGGTGGAATAGCATCTTTCTGGACAGGCAATGAAATGAAATATTCAGTAGTTATTGCATCTATCATACTATATGAAATACAAATGACCCAAGGGGGAAAATAATAAAGCTTTTACCTTCATGGATGAAAGCATCTTGGGAGATTCTAAAATTCACAGAGATAAGTAATTAATGATATGGAAATAAGTCCACATGAAACTACATTTGTGCACCTACATTGGTATGTTTCTAAAGCCCCATGATTAGCTCTGAAATTATTAGTTTTTTGTAATGGTAATTTGTAGTTTGCTTGTTTTATGTCCCTATTTTCTGTACAGATACACAATGTAAAAAAAAAGAAAAAGAAGGTAGATTTTCATTGACATTTAAGTTAGCATACACAAAATAATATTATTCTTCCAATAAACATTTTGGCAATGGTCAGGTACAGGTGACTAATGCCAGTAATCCTAGTTGCTTAGGAGGCTGAGATATGAGGATCACAGTTCGAAGCCAGACCAGGCAGAAAAGCCTGTGAGACTTTTATCTCCAATACACTACTCAGAATAAGCCAGAAGTGGCACTGTGACTCAAGAGGTAGAGTGCCAGCCTTGAGCAAAAAGCTAAAGGACAGCTCTCAAGCCCTGAATTCAAGCCCCTACACAACACACACACACACACACACACACACACACATTTACTGCAATAGAAAAGGAACATATGCCAGTATGAATACATAAACTGGAGGAGACAAAATTGACCTCCGATAATAGAAGTCACAACTATGAGAGCATATTTCGTATCAAAGCCTGTATAAAATAAAACAGCTTATACCCTTAATGAAACAGATCAGAATTACTTATGACACTAGCCTAAGTAGATTTGTCTCCTCTTTCTTATGTACTAATATTTTTGAAAGTTAGAGTATCCCAAACTGTAACTCATAATGGAACTCCCTCTCTGTTCCCACTCAATAGAACCTTGCCTGAAACTTAATCAGTTATGCAGCCGATGACATTTAACTTCCCTTTTCTTCAGTCTACATTTAATAGGTAATTACTACTGGCAGTTGATATGTGAGTCATTTTCATGCAATTATTCTGTCATGTGTCATGGTTATGAAACATGCATCTTACCTTTCACCATATTATCTCTCTTTGGATCTCCAGCCCCGGGTACAAGAGCCACGTGATTTGGGCCAAGACTTGCAGAGATATTTTGAAAATAATTATCAATCTGTTTTGGGCAGAAATATTTTCCAGTCACTGTTAAGAAGCTACCTAAATGTCCTACCTTGAAAGCAATTAGACTTGTGCAAAACCAAAGCCCTAGAACCTCACACATGCTTTCTTGAACAAGTCTGCCTTTTATCTTCACACAGCCATTGACTATAAACCAGGCATGGAAGAGCAGAGGAAACACCAAAATACAAAATGCCTATTTCAACAAGGAGCTGACTTCGGGATCTCTCACTCTGCTTTGCATTGCCCAGGAGATAAAGAGAACATTTTAACATCTGTGTATCTGGCAAGTTGTTAAAAGTTCACTTGAGGGCTGGGAAGGTGGCTCAGTGGTAGAGTGCTTGCCTTGCATGCATGAGGCCTTAGGTTTGATTTCTTAGTACCACAAATAGAAAAAGCCAGAAGTGGTGCTGTTGCTCAAGTGGTAGAGCGTTAACCTTGAGCTGAAGAGCTAAGGGACAGCGCCCAGGCCCAGAGTTCAGGCCCACGACTGACAAAAGAAAAAGAAAGTTCACTTGATAAAACACAACATTAATCATTTACATCACTTAGTATGAAAGAAATTATTGTAAGGCTAAAATGTGACATGTTCCATCAAAATAGACCTCAAAGTATGTCTTGTTGATTTTAAATAAAACCCTGTGGAAGTATTTTATTTAATATAAAAAGGGCCTTAAAAATGTTTTTTTTTTGGCCAGGTATCAGTGGCTCATGCTATTCTAGCAACTCAGGAGGCAGATATATGAGGATCGTGGTTTGAAGACAGCCCAGGCAGGAAAGTCCATGAGACTCTTATCTCTAGTTAACCACAAAAAACTGGAAGTGGAGCTGTGGCTCAAGTGGTAAGACACTAGCTTTGACTACAAAAGCTCAGGACTACTGCCCTGAGTTCAAGCACCAGGACCAGCATGTACACTGGTAAACACACACACACACACACACACACACACACACACACACACAATCTATTTTTTTGTAAAACTTCTAGCAATAGTGAAAATGGTTGTTTATAATGACAAAGCACTATGAAAACATTTCCTCATTATATTTCAATGATAGTAGACATATGTTTGAAATAGTGGATAACTCTTTCCCTGCAGGATTTTCCCCATTTAGAGAGAAATCCTTAAAAGTTCAGCTAGCCCCAAATTAGAGGGGAAGAATAACAGTGTCTGACAAGTGCTGGGCCTTTATTTGAACATTTTTGCCTACATTATAAAAATGCAGAGGACTGTGGTTATGAGGACCATACTTCCTGCTTCCTGTTCATTCCACATGGTGAGCGGCATATCAAGGAAGCTGCGCTCTCTCTGCAGGCCGCTCCTCCACATGAATGGTCACGTGCCTAGCTCCTCCTCACCTTGCAGCTGGCAGCTCTAGTCTCACCCAGAGTCACAGCTTCTCTCACTGCAGAGTTCCACCCCATCCTCATACTAACTACAAACTCTCTAACTGAACATCTCTTCTCTTCTTTATACAAAGTTCCATGGGTGATTTATAAATGTTGGTTGCTTCTTTGATTTTTGGTCTTTTCACTAGAGCATAGATGATCATGAGATATAGTCAGTGTCTAACTCCATGGTAATAGAGGATATATTCCATGATGGAATTTTCTTCAAAGACTAAATAGTTAAATCTCACCAGGAAGGCCACACCTACTAACCACGATCTCCTTATTGTATGCATCCACATAATCTTCTGACCCTTACCATACTCCAAATTAGAAGTCTCTATGTCCTTTATTACACATGCATTTCTTTTCTTGACTTTCCTGCATTTCATAATCCTTATATTTAAAAACATCTCTTTTAATTTCCTGTCACAGAATACTCATAGGTTATTTTGTCTTATAATTGTATGCACTTTAAGTTTCCAAGAAGCTTCTGTGTTTCCTCTGTGTGTGTGTGTGTGTGTGTGTGTGTGTGTGTGTGTGTGTGCCACTACTGGGGCTTGAACTCAAAGCCTGAGTGATGTCTCTTAGCTTTTTTACTCAACAGTTCCACTTATGGATTTTTGGATAATTAGTTAGATATAAGACTTTGAAGGGCTTCTTTTTATCTGGGCTGGCTTAACCTTTTCCTCAGATCTCAGGTTCTTAAGTAGCTAAGATTACAAGCATGAATCACCAAAGCCTGGAGGTTTCCTTAGCATATCATACAAATATGTCAAGAAATATTTGATCATTACCTCTATGTAAGAGGTTAAAATTCTTACATATATATTGTGCAGAAAACCACTAGTATTTAAACAGTATATATGATTTCCCCTCTCCCAAAAAATATTTGTAGGTACTAATTGAGAGATCCAGGAGACTTTAAAGGGTTTCAGATTTTATGTACTTTGGAAGTACCAATCTACAAGTCCCGCCCAATTCTATCAATAGTGGTAACCTTAGACTAATAGGTAAACAGCATCATCGTGCTTATGATACTACAGTCATAATAGCCTTAATGATAGAAAAAAAGATGATACATATATACTGTGAAATGTTCCATAGCCATAAAGAAAACTGATTAGAAAGGTTGGACAAATGGGATTGCATGAAATTGCAGAGCTTCTGCATGGCGAAGGACATAGCTAGCAAGATCAATAGAAAGCCCACGGACTGGGAGAAGATCCTCACTAACCATACAACAGATAAGAGTCTCATATCTAAAATATACCTGGAACTCAAGAAATTAAATCCCCCAACAACAAATCCTCAAAGAAACAACAGCCCAATAAGTAAGTGGGCTAAAGACTTAAAGAGAAACTTCTCTGAAGAGGAAAGAAGGATGGCCAATAGACACATGAAGAAATGCTCAACCTCTCTAGCCATAAAA